AGAACTCTATCTATTTCTATTCTATTTCTTGTCGAAGCTAAAAGCTGTAATACTTATAATTATTTTTTATTTTTATAATTATTTTTTTTTATCATTTTTAATCGGAAAGAATTAAAGTTTCCATTGTGTTAAAAAATTTTACCATTATTAAAATACGTTCAATGTATGTATATTAACGTAATTTATGACTCGATCAATCCTTTTTATATTAATATATGTACATATGATTACATACGATTACTTTGTATGTATATAATTTCAATTTTGTTCACAGCCACGTTTCCATCGTGGAAAACGAATTACGCGAAAATATTTGCCAAAAAATTTCAATCGGATTCCAACGATTCGAATATCGGTAGGGAAGCCGAGTTATTCCATCGGAGAAATATTTCGATGATTTTTTAATTGGTTAAAGTATCGTTTATGTTATTTCGTTCCAACGAGCGAACATTAACTTTCCCACTCATCTTCATCCTATTTTTTCCTCCCCTCTTCGTTGTATTATACTTTTTATTTAAACGCGAGTTTTAATCAAAATGTTTATTAAATCGCTCGGCTATCGAGCGAACGTGCAAATGCGATTCGTTAATATCCGATGAGTCGGAGGGATTGAGGGGAGAAAAAAGACAAAAAAAGAAAAAAAGAAAAAGAAAAAAAAAGAAAAATAAAAACGAACGACGAAACGGACATCGAAATATTTAAATCGCGTGTACGACTACATTGAAATAAACATAACGCATAAACGAAACCGATCGGTTTCGGTCGGTTTTAAGAGGCAGAAATATTTATAATTTTGCGCATCACCGTGTCACGGTGCTTGAAACCGCCAACAGGAAAATAGGAAAAAAGGGAAACAGAAATAACAGAGAGCGGAGAATAATTTGGAATCGTTGAAACGAAAGAAGCAGCCATTAATTAAACCGGATATCGTGAATGAATCGAATATATATTTAACGCGGGCAAACTATTTCCACGTATCAATATTAAGTTTAAATATTTTCATTCTCGCGCAAACATAAATATCGTTGCGTGGAAAATCATTGGCATCCTGAGGTAGTAGTTGAAAATCGCCATTTTTAATTCTTCCTGCAAAGAGATCCATCTCGTTTTAATATAATTTATTCTACTAATTTTGTACAACGTCCGTATCATTATCCCCAGAATATATATTTTAATTACGCGAAGAGCTAATTTAATGTTCAGCCTTTTTCTTTTTTTTTTATAATAAATAACAATTATTCCATAATGGAAGACAAACTCATCAAGACATTCTCTCTCTAATCTTTTTCGCTACGTTTCTCAATTTCTAATCACAATGAAAGAAGGAGATAATAACATATATCTAGATTGAAACATTAAACATAAAATCTCGAACAAACAATGATAGAGAAAAACAGTACGATTTTTATATGAAAAATATTAGAATAGAAATTTAATTTAGCGAAAGAAAAAAAATTCGTTCGAAAAACTGATCGAGAATAGTCTCGAATCGAATCTCATTAGGAATCCTGTTAAGAAGGACGCGATCTCGATTACACCGATCTCGAATTATATACACGATCGTAAATGGGATCGACGACAGGTTAATAATAGGCGAATCCCTCGAATCAACGCAATAATACCAATCTCGAAACCGACAGGGGAGAGGAAAAGAGAGAGAGAGAGAGAGAGAGAGAGAGAGAGAGAGAGAGAGAGAGAGGAAGACGGTGGAGAGATTGGTCTCTCCATTTTTTGGGCGAGCTTCTTTAATTAAGATCTTCCGTCGAAATTTCCCCGGCGTATTCGGCTTCTGGTGGGAAGAGGAGGGGAAGGGAGGGGAGTTTTTCCACGAAAGCGGCCACGATTCACGATAAACCGTGGTGAAAGGAAACTCGTTAAAACCAATCCACCGCCGATCGAATCGATCGTTTTGCACATTGGTTCGAACTTGGATAGAGGGAAGGGAACGAATGGAGGGGTGGAAGAGAGGGTGGAAAAGAAACGGAGGGAATAGATTGAAACGAGTGTATACAGTAAGGAGGAGAGGGGAAGGGGATAGGCAAGAAGAGGAATATTCTTAATCTATATCCTTGTTCCAGATATCGCGGTTGAAGGTTAACCATCGAGGGAAAAGAGGAGAAGAAGGAGGGATGATTTAATTAAAAAGACTGGACGTGGTTTTCTTCTCGTCGCGATTTCGTAATTTCCGACGATGAAATCGAGCGACGAGAAGAAGAAGAAGAAGAAAAAAAGAGGGAAAGGGGTTTTGTCTGGTCCGAGGACGATGTCTGTGATCGTTTTGACTTTGATAAGAAATGGGCCAAAGTGGAAAAGGAACGGAAGAAAATTAAGGAAAGACGAAAGGGTGTGAGGGGGAGGGCAGGGGAGAGAGAGAGAGAAAGAGAGACGGTGCAGGGAGAAATCAGATGTAAGAACGTGGAAAGTTGGACGGAAATCAAGGGAGAGAAAGACGAGAAAGGAGAGAAAAGCGATAGATAGGAAACGTAGAAAGTGAACGTGGCTCAGTGAGGGTGGAGAGAGGGAGAGGGGGTAGATAATTAGACAAGAAACGTGGACCTGTTCCCTTTCTTTCTTTTGCTTGGATGGAATTCCTTCTCAAGAAAAAGACTTTCCCTTTCGTCTTATCGCTAATTTTTTTCAACGATGGCGTAACTAAAGAATTAATAGAGAGAATTGCTTTGAACGTTTTGGTTGCGAATCGTTATAATATTGTGTAAGAACTTTGAATCAAAATTGAAAATCTACAAAAAAACGTACTTATGGAACTTTGTTAATAAAAAGTATAGATGACGAACGAATTTACTCGAAAACAATTGATCAAACTGTAAACAATATATATGTATTCTTATTTCTAAATACTTTTCCAATCTTTTTGAAAATATATTACATTTAAGAGGCTCAGTAACAAGATCTAAATACAAGTAGTAAAAAAAAAATTTTTATAAAAAAAAAGAGATGATGAAGCTATAATTACAATTATTAAAAATTCGTCGAAAACGAAATATCTCGAATAAGAAAATTAACGAAAAACTAAAGAGAGAATGCTATATTGAAAGCAGGAGCAAAATCAGACATTGGTAAGAACATAAGGCGGAAATCAGGGAGAAAGGAAAGAGAGGAGGAGATAGAGGCAGATAGACAAACGTAGAAAGTGAACGTGGCTGGTAGTGAACGCAAAAGGGTAGATAATTAGACAAGAAACACAGAGACCCTTTCTCTCTTACCCAGCAGAGTTTCTTCCGACTTTCTCTCAGGAGCCCGTATCCTCCTTAATTAAATATAAGCGCCGGCTTACCTCTGCTTCTTAAACCTTACCACCGTCGTTTCATCCACGCACCTCGTTTCCTCCGCCATCCTCTCCCTTTACCTCGCCAATTTCTATCCTCCTGCAACACCGAAAGGTACACCAAATTGAGCCAACAATTCTCGTTCACGAAGTACTCGCGCGTACATAGATGTACTTTGGGCTGGTGCTCGCACCAGTTCACGAACAGGGATACCCCGTACATCTCTGCGAACGCGTGTAGGTATGCGACGAAGAGAAACACCTCAGGAGGAGTAGTGTATACACTCGTGTGTATATAGGGTGTCGGAATAGTCATGATGTAAGAAAAAAAGAGATTATTTTTTTTAAAAAACTGAAAATAAGAATAAGCTTCGTTTTGGAACGAAACGAATTTTATCTCTGGAAATATATTTGCAGAATGATATATATAATTCCATTTTGGAAAAAAAATGAATGAATTATGAATTACCAAAGAATCATTTAGATGGAAATTTTAATGTATTTAATAATTCAATTGTAACTTTAAAAATGTCTTGATTAAATACTCTTTGGTCTTGATGAATTCTTCAAATATATGTAGTCAAATATATTATTATTTGATTACATATGAATATTCTATATATGAAACAATAATTACAAAGTGTAAAATACAGAATAAAATCTTATTTAAATATCTACCTCCTTTCCTAAAAAATTAAATTCAATTAAAAATCAATAAATCCTTCTTCGAATTGTAATTGATCAAAATTAATCACCTATTACTCATTATTAAATTTCCAATTTAGAGCCACTCTTAATTACTCGATGAAATTCCAAAATCAATTTTCCTAAAAATAGAAATGAACAGATTCTATTCTACTTCTATTTCTATACCCTTCTATACTCTGTTCTCCACTTCCATACTCCTTTCTTCAATTAAAATGTACTCTACATCCGATTATAGCACAAGATTATTGGAACACCCTGTATAAGCATGCGTGCGTATGATAGTACACAAGACATCGTCACGTAATTACGAGAGGGACCGAGCAGTTTGCGGAGGTCACACGCGGGACAGAGGCGCCCTCTCCTGAGCGGCTAATATGCCGAGGCTGATGCGATGCCTAGTGATACAGGTGTGGGACAAGGAAGGGTTATAATCGTTTTAAACGATCGCGCCAGGCCTGATTAAGGATCGCCGATCCTCTTAGCGGTGCCACTGATGGTGCTACCCACGGGCTTACAGCGTTTAGGCGACGTTCCCAACCCTTGTGCTATTTAGTTTGTTTTATTACGAGATGTTTGTCGAACGTTGAAAGGGAGAGAGGGTGGTAAAGAATGATTTAAGAAATTTTATTGCAAGAGAGTGCGTTAAATGAAAGGGTATCGTTTGGATGATTTTGTGAGAGTTATTAGATGGATTCAGGTGTGGTGGATAACGCGTGGATGGAATTTTGAGAAACATGAAAATGTATTGGGTGTTTATTGGTAGAGTGGTAGTCGTTGAAAAGAGTAAAATTGTTTGCAAAAAAAAAATAAATAAATAAATAAACGAAAGTGAAGGATAATTTGGAGGATTAATAATGGTTGTTCGTTAACTCCATTTTTCTAAAAAAAGAAAAAAAAATCAGTTTAATTAATAAATATCAATAATCCATAATATCGATAAAATCAATCAGTAGATATTTATTTGTTAGTTGGAATAATAAAAATAAATTTATGTTTCGAGTTTGTATACAATGGCATTGGTTAGAGTATTAAATTGAATTTCTTTTTAAATTAACAGGTATCGAACTTCTGCTATTCGATTAAATATTTCAATCCGCAGAAATTATATAATTACTTTGGTTGTAAATGATCCATGATTTCGTCAGATTTTGTAGTTGAGTCGGTAGTTACTAATATTTTATATTTACGAGGTAAAAATACGCTATTGTTATATTCTTGGTTATTTCGTGTAATATTATTCATCTTGAAGTTACGATGAATCGTATTGTTTTTATAATTATCTTCGATTAATTTAGAAGGAAGATTATTAGATGCAGTCTTACTTACTGCATCGTTATTCTGTACCTTAGGAAATAGAATGTAAGTGTTATTGAAATTATGACCAATATTGTGAGTATTGTTTATAAAATTATTAACAAATGTATCATTGTTAGACATCCTACGTTGTTTATTCCAATTTAAAGTATAAGGCCATCGTTTCTGAAACGAAGACTCATTCCTATTATTGTGAATTGTATAAGGATGATTTGCTTGTCCTTGCAATCCTGGAACATTACTTCTCGTTTCTTGTTCCTGGTGTTCATTTTGTTGATTCGATTTCTCTAAAAAAAAAGAAAAGAAAAAAAAAAAAAGAAAAAAATTCCATAAAATTAGTCTCAAATTCCTATCCTATTTATTTCTTAATGATCAAAAAGAACTAAATTCACCTGTTGACATCATTGGAAGTTCAAGGAATCTTTCAATAGACCGTCTATTATTATTCAAAGAATCCAATATCCTACGCAATATTCGCTGATAGGCAGTCCTATTCTGACCAGACGAGTTCAAAACATTGGACATCACAGAGTTTATCAAACTCGTATTGGTGGTTGCATCGGCTGGTACCACGTGAACCAAGTGTTTCTGTCCCATCTGATCAGTTCCAAGTATCAACCTGGGTATCAATTGCTTCGTCCTGCCTCCATTTTCCTTCGATCTAACATCCGTCGAAGAGCCATTCGAACTTTGCTGCGTTCCAATCGTTTCCGACCGTTGCCTCTTAACGTTCTTCAGATCAATCCTCTCCTCGTCCTCTTTCCTGGGCATCGCGCTCGTGCTCTCCACACTCTGTCCCCTGGTGACGTTTTCTGGAACACGTTTGGTGGAAACGTGGTCGCCTCGATTGTCGCTCGTCTCCACGACAATTCGTTTCTCGGGCAACGAATTTTTATCGGCGTATATCCAAAACTGCTTAATCTTCTTCTGCTCCCCCGAAGAATCGTTCTCGACGGTCGCATAAGCGCTCGCATCGTTGCGATAATTATGCTTGTCGTTCAAGTATATATCCTGCTCGCCCTGCGACGTCACGTAGACGTACGACTGGGGCCACAAGCTCCTCATGTGATAGCTGCCGTCTATCTGAGGCACGATCGTCACTTGAAGATCGTGTCTCGTGCCACCGTGCGACGAGATTCTCTTGATTCTACGAAGCACCCACTTGATCGTGGCGTGGGTATGATCGTTGCATAGGGCGCATTCGGTGCATCCCTGTTGGCAGAAGAGCCAGTGGCCGCTTGGCAAGTGATAAACATCGCCACGAGAGAGAACAACGTTTGTTGCGTCGCTCGGGGCGATTGGAAAAGGACCGTTGTAAAATGGCGCCTCCAAGACACGTCTATAGAGGTGATAGTTGCCGGTTGGTGGCGGTGAGATCGTTCTGAACACGAATTCCCGGATGATGTGCTCCCAGTAGAACGGCTCGTTGAACGAGTGATCGGAGATGTGACGTTTTTGGGATCGTATCTTTGCTTGGCCGGCTTGCTTCGATGACGATTGTATTCCCATGGAGATCAATGAAAGCTGTGCAAAGAATGAATTATATTTATCGATGAACCTATTTCAGAACCGATATGTATACTTTGAGGATAGATTTTGAATTATATAGTGTGTGTTTGCATGTTCTAATGAAAGAAAAATGGGGAAAATTTTGAAATTCGTGAATGGAAATATAGGAGTAAGGAATTAATATAATAATAATAAGGGAAATGGAGGAATTATTGGAATTTGGAAAATTAAAATTGCGGAACACATAATTGTAGAAATGAATAATTTTAAAACTAAGCAAATTATAGAATACAAAAGAGATGTAGATCTTTGTATTATAAGTGTATAATGTAAGGAAAGGAATTTAATGGAAAAGATCGGAATATGTCTAATTTTTACCGCTCATGTTTCAATTGCATATGACGAACAGATTGAATCAAAAGGTACAAAACTTAATACGATATAATGTCGTGTTTAAAATGTTTAAAATGATTGTAATGTTAATCACAGAACGAGGATTTCACAAAGGAAGGAATATCGATTTTACTCACTATCACCATCGAGACAAGATTCCACTTCGTAGAATTCATGTTTCACTGTCTCTAATCGCGACGAGGCAGGGAAGAAACCGAAAGATAAAAAATTAAAGAGAATTCATGATGCACAGGGGTCGGTGTTACGTGTCTTACACCTGGCATACGACTGAATCATACAGAAATCATGATCAACCTCTGGTGTCGAACATATGTTGGAGACTCTACTACAAATACTGGGATATCGTCTAAGAAAATTGAGATTGCCTATAATTAAACATTTGATTCTCTGATCAAATATTGAAATACAAACATAATTCAGGTCGGATTTATGTATGTGCAATATGAGAAAATTATGTGTCAAATGGATTTAAAAATTTATTTGTATAATTATCAAATTAATTTAACTTTTCGTTACATCTATTATTTTTGTTATTTTCGTTAATAATTTTAATGATACACAAGTATTGAATAAATATAATAATAAATATATTAATATTCTTTTTTTTTAGTAGAATAGAATAATAATTAGAAATATATATAAAAATCGATTAAGAAAGAAAAAATAGAAAAAAGAAGATACAGAAAGAATAGAATTTAAAAATTCAGAAACTTATATTAATACAAATTAATTAATTGTCAATATTTATTTTAAATTTATTTTTATTCTTAAATTATTTGTTTCATATATAATCCTCTTATTTAAAAAATTAATACTATCTAATATTAATTTCATAATAACTTCAATAATAGTCATTATACATAATGTTATCATGCCTATAACTATATATGCTAATATAAACTTTTGGTTAATATCAAGACTTTAGGAAAATCTATATAATCATCAATATCGATAAAACGGAATTAATCCTTCTCCATATCAGCGATATAAATATTGGCAATCGATGCATGCGTTGTCCATGCCTGATAGACATTGCAAACGAGACAATGTCATACCGTATGCCGGGTAAAATATGTACATCGCGAACTAATCTGCGTTTTGATCGTGAATTTGTTTCTATTCCGCGATAGGAACCACCTGTCACGTATGGTCAGATAAACGGTTTTACTATGCAAAGAATGGAACACGATAAATTATTGTTTCATTAATACGACACGACGGTAACGCAACACAGGACAGAAGTTATTGTGAACGAAACGCGTTAATATTAAAAGTGAACGGTTGTTGCATTTTTCACGGTGACAAACGTTTCTTTGTTTCAGGCTTCTGGCACACTAGGCGTTCCAGTTTTCGATGATAAATTCGATGACTTGCCCTACAGAAAATTTAAAAAAAAAAAAAGAATACGATGCGAAAAATTAAAATAATTAACATTAGAAGTAATTTTTTAATTATTCATTCATCAAAGATAATATTTATAGAACATTTATAATTCTTCACTGAAAATAGGTTTTATACAATTTTGAGAATTTCAAATTTTAAAAAAAATGATCGTAAAAAATATTTAAAATTATTCTAACTCCAATATTTTATCAATTTTTAAAAATGTAATTTTGTATTTAAAAAATGAAAACTATAAAGATTATGTATTTTCAAATTTACAGCAAGGAAAAGGAAAGTTTTTATTACTTGCCACCAGATAGCAGAAGAGATCAACGATTGATGTGGCGCCATCTGTAGTCCATTTATAGAAACAATTCAGAAATCGAAAAATAAAGCATAAGGACTGATAGTTACAAACAATGGAATAAAGATATATGCTAATATATTTGCTACTATAAGAATGTTTCGATTTTTCGGCACGAGATGGCGGTAAAGATCAGGCATATCATGTGACGCCATCCGTAGCTCCTTCTAAGAAGTAATTTAAATATTTAAAAATTATGCATAAGGATAGATAGCTATAAACTAAAGAATGAACCTACTAATCGATTCTTTTGTTCTATGTCCTGACAATAATAAAATATATCATTGTAATATATTCCTAAGCGTTTATACAAATTAAAAAAGAAAATTAAAATATATAAATTATATACTTGACGTATCAATATAACTGCAAAAAAGTTTCGATTCTTTTGGTTCTAAATCCTGGCAATAATAAAATACTTATATCGCTTACATCACTGTAATATATTCTTAAACGTTCGCATA